GCTGCTGCTGTACTACTGCTGCTGCTACTACTACTGCTACTCCTCCTACTGCGACTGCGACTGCGACCGAGACTGAGACCACGACCACGACCACGACCACGACCACGACCACGACCACGACCACGACCACGACTACTACTGTTGCTGATTCTGTTGCTACTATCAAACAAAGACTATGACAGCTTAAGGCTAAAGACCTCGACGTCACTCGCCTAACAAAGACAAACCCAATGGCACAACACTGCCAGTGGTGCTAGTGGTACCAGACAGGACGACCAGCATCAGCATAATACCCATATGAGTCATTGCCAGAGCATGAGAAGTGAATTGTGGCTTGTGCGTCAGTAGTGGGATGTAAGCACCCTGGTGGGTGGGCACATGGTAGGAAACTCAACAACCTTTCGGCCCGGATCCCTAAACCTGATCCCGAATGCGGTGTGCAGACTGGTTTCCGTCCATCCCAGAGTCTTCCGAAGAGATCCCGGGGCTTGGATAGCTTGGTTGTCTGACTCTTGATTTCCTCTGCTTCGACACTAAACTGTCCCCGCAAGTTTTCGACACTCCGAGGAGCTGATCGCCCTCGCCTTTCCTTTGGTGTTTATTGTGGCCTTCCTCTACACCCAGAAGAAGGTCCGGACTTAGTGGGGTTTCCGGTTTAGGCTTCCCAAGACGAAATGCTGATCACACCCCAGGCCCAACAAATCTGAAGCGTTGAACCCGAGCCGCAGAAGTCCTAGGGTTGAGGCACTGCGTCAAGGACCCGGCTTTTTATTCTCATAGGTGCCTTGCCATGCTTTTAAGTCAAACCCCAAATATGCACTCCGCAACCCTAAATCTGAAGCCCCCTTAAAACCTAAACCCATAAACCCATCCGTCTTCAGAACCTTGAGGCCTCAAACCTTGAGCCCAAAATCCGTGAAATTGGACTTCTCCGTGTGACATAACGGCGCAAAGCCAGCTCCCCTCAAGCACGAAAACTTCGCCACCAAGCAGCCGCATTCCACCAAAGCCCAGCAAGCTCTGATCCCCCACCCTGCAGGGATCTGCGGTCATCCAACTCCGGGACGTCAACTGTGCTTAGCCCTTGCGAATTTCCGAATGTCCCCCCAGCTCCAGGAAGCCTTCAACCGGTTACCCTGAACCCTGAAGAAGAAGCCAGATGCAAGGAACATGGAACATCATCCTCATGTCCCTGAAGTAGAGCATCGGCAATCACAGCACTTCTCATCCTAGATGAAGGTTCCAGCCTGTTCTTAGTTCACTTGGTTTGGGCCTAGGGTGGCTGTAGTAACGGACTTTGTATAACTATATCAGGGGGCCCTCAGGTCTATTTTTACCATCATTCAGCCTGGTGAGAGTTTCCTGTAGCAGGTCTTGAACGAGCTCATCTCCGAGAAGGAGACGAAAGTCCGAGAAAGTCTGCGCATGCTCGGCGTGGGCAGCCCTGCTATCATCAGTGCTTTGGCACGAAGCTGGGGCGCGGAGGGTGGGGACTTAAACGGTTTAGGGTTAAGGGTTTCAGGGCCGTTGGGTTGGATGTTAGAGTGGGGGTTCAGGGTTTGAGGTGTAGCGGACGAAGTCCACAAGCACTGTGCCATATGCGTATGCCAACCAAGAGCAAGTTCCACTGCAGGGGTATGCTGATAGATCGAGTTATAAACTGATAAGCAAGCGGTGGCATATACACGGATAGATAGATACATCGATAGATAGCTAGGTACTTAGGCTTGCAGGTAGACAGATGCATAGACAGATAGGTCGGTCGGTAGATTGATAGTCATGGATAGACACCCACACACACACACACGCACATATGATATGTGTATATATATATACACATACATGCACACATATAGGTGGACAGATAGGCAGCTAGATAGACGTACAGATTCGTAGATAGATGGCTACGTAGGTAAGCAGGGAGGTCGGCAGAGAGATCGATCGGCAGTCTTGTTCTGGCTCTGTCGCCTTGGATGAACCCTAAACTGCAATCTCTAAGATTCTTTGTATATGTATATGTGGCGGCATATGTTTATTCACATGCTCTAAGCCGTTGCTGCACCCCCGAACCCGTGAAACCCTAAGCCACATGACCTGGCAGGCTCCTGGTACCTGACCTACGGAATTATTTTTGGCATCCTTTGTGCCATCTTCGCCCTCACGGCCTCCTTCTACGTGCCTGGGCTACAGCACGTACCAGCGTGAGGAGGTTCCGGGGTTAAGGGCCTCAGGGCTTGTGCGGTTCAGGTATTGAAATCTAGGCTTTTTGTACAACCCTCACAGGGCTGTCGGGTTTAGTTGTGGTTTAGTGGTGAGGGGTCCAGACTGTCAGCGGCCATGTCCACAGCAACTTGCATGAGAGTTCAGGGCGCAACGGGTCTTTGGATTTGGGGCCGTTGATGGCTTGCGGATTGCTCTGGAGTCTCGAAGCCCTCCCACTCCGATGGCGTAGCAGCAGCCCCCGAAGGCTCGGCACAGCTAATCAACCAAAGCTAATCAAACTTGAAATCCGAACCCCGAACTCTACACTCAGAGCTCGGAACTCCGGAACCCCAGGCCCTTTTAGGCACTAGACCTTGAACCCCTGAACTCCAAACGCTCCGATCAGGTTTTCCCAGGTTCTAGCGGAACCCTGATTTTCGCCTTCTTTTGGCTCTGGTGCATGTCCTTCCTGGCTTTCGACTCTCGGTAAAATTGACTCTTCGCGCAGGTTCCTGGGCAACGCGATTGCCCATGATGATGGTACAGATCATAAGAATGATGCTGCTGCTCCTGCCGCTGCCACTGCAGCTGCTGCTGGATGATGTTGATGATGATGATGGCGGCGATGATGACGATCAGAATTGGAGTCGAATCATGGGCCTGGAGAAGAGTGGCCACAATCTAGACAACTTCGGTAGCAGCAAGTGGTAGAAGCCATCTTCACAGTAGATACGATTGCAATTTGTCACCACCTTACCGTGGCAGGATCATGTTGGACTTGTCCGGTTTTCGGTTTTCGTGACTAAAGAATGCTGCGGTACTCGGGAGCTTGATGATTGCATCAGATAGCGTTTTGACATGATACCATATTCCCGAAACCCTCAGCCCTAAACCTCAAATCTCAAATGCCAAGCCTAGACTCAGCGAACTTGGACTCCAAGCATGCAAAGCCACACCCTGATCCCGGCGCCTGCGGCCAAGCATGAAAATCCCCCATCCCTTACAGACACTCCCCAGCAGACTAAGCCACGAAGCCCAAAGTCGTGAGCCTATGAGACCTACCCCGGAATGTAATGGTAGACTTCTGAGGCGTGGTTCATCCACTGCTTCTTCAATCAGTCCCGCACAGGCTCTACTCGGCTCTTTCTCTCTCGATCTTCCGACCATCGCTTCGTTTTTTAGCAGTTGAAGTGGGGGGGCTTAAACCCGTGAGACAAACCTGAAATTTCGAGTTCTTGATTCTGTGGGGATGATGCCTTGACTTTGGGGGGTTTCAGACGGGGTGGGTTTGGGGCTTCGTGGTAGGATCTATATGCAGCTCTGCACTAGAGGTCCAAAATCCGTACCCATATCTAGCTTGCACAGTTGTCAGCTCAGGCGCTGAAGACTCTCAGCCTCAATCCACAAGTCTGACTGTATTCACTGGGGCAAGGGTTGCCCGGCATTGGTGTTGGTCTGCCTCCTGATGGCACCGAAGGCGGCATTGTTGGCATGATCATCATGTTCGCGCAATGGATCGTGCACCTGGGATGCAGTCTCAGCCCTGAATGGCTCCGCCCCCGGCCGTGGTTTGAACCTTGTAATTCGGCGACGCGTCAATGTCCACAATCGCTAGTGTGAGAGTCTTCAACACCACAGAGGACGAAGAAGTTTTTCAGAAACAGCAGGAAGAGAGGTGGAGCAGACCCATCTCTGCAGGTACTCCTCGCAGAACCGTGACGGTCCGCCTTCTGAGACCGTCACTTTGCTGCCTCTTGCCTCAATCTGGGGAGGAGTGGCAGAGGTTGGAGGTTGAGGTATAGGTTGTTATGGTTTGGGTGCTAGGGGTGCTGCATGGTTACAATCTGGAAGTGGTATCAGCTTACTGTTTTAACATTCAGTGCGAAAGTGGATCCAGGCTCATGTTCATGCCGAATGCCGCCTTCTGCACGGGCCTCGCGGTGCCTGGGCCATCGTGGGCTATAGAGACCCGCATCCTTAAAGTCTGGATTTTAGCAAAAGGCTTCCGTGCTTCGGGTTCAGTAGACTCAGTAGAGACCTCAAGCCGTCGCCCTCGATCCTGCTGTTCGCTTGTCATCGTCTTCGGATGAAGTGCTGTGTTTGTAACTTAGCTGCACGAGTGTGTCACTCCACTCGTGACCAGATAGCTCGGACACGTGGGCAGTTCTGTCGCGCCACAGTTGCATGGTGACCGAACACGAAGACTCGGTCAGGCATAGAGCCCCCGGTCGCTAGGCGAAAAAAGTGCCTAAGGACCCCAGACAATCCCCACCACCGACAAGCCCAAGCACTTTTGACTAAGACTCCACCTGAATCATGGGACCCATCTTGGATCTTGGCCTTCCTTCTTAGTGCTCGAGGCTTACACTCTGTGTCCCCTGCTGCTCAAGAGTATGCTTCTGGGTTGGAGGTTTTGCTTTAAGGCTGTTTCGGGCTGGTTGAATCTGAGCACCTGCAAGGGCTCCCCATCAACGAAATGCACATGTAAAAGCTACAAGTTCCGAATGCCCGTGTTTTGCTTTCCTTCATAGAAGTATGCCACAAGATACCCCTATATTGCTGACTAGGCCAGCTCCTGAAGCCCTTCCCAGCCCATCGTAGTCCAGGTCTTGGCCAAGTTCGAGGCCGCGCGCGTCGGGGCCCAGTGGGGCAACGCCTTCATGCAGGTCGGGTCGGGGTTTATGCAGGGTTATTCAGGGCATCTACTGTTCAGAGTTTGTAATTGGTATTCCGAGTAGGGTATTGGGTTCAGGACGGTTTTGGGGTTGTGGGGGTTTGGGCTTAGGGGTCCCAGATGGTCGAGCGAGGAGTCTACGTTACGAGGGCTTCATGAGAGTTCGTTCCATAGAACTGTCATATGGTTTGATTTATATTTTCTTTAAAGATTAGGGTACCTAAAGAGTCAGACGAGGGTTTTGGGTCATTACGTTAAAGTGATAGCACCAAGAACCGTTCCGGCACCGTTTCGGCCCAGAGCTTGCATCCATGAGAGTCGATGTGCAAGTCCTTTAGGGGTTTAGGGTTTAGGTTTAGGGGTTTAGGGGTTTAGGGGTTTAGGGCCTAGGGTTTAGGGTAGACCCTCAACCCCCCAAACCCCGTACGCCCCCCCAGTCCGCCCCCTCAAAGTCCGAAGCTCCACGCGTACTTGCCCGCACCTTTTCAGGCAGAACCTGAAGGACCTGGCTCCCCCTTACCGGCACCCTTTTTAGGACTCCCGTCCCGTAAGGAAAGCCACCAGTCTTGCTGTGTCAGGTCGCAAATTCCTCCTTTGCATCCGTTCTGGGGATGATGTGCCTTGACATCCTCTTGCGACGCGGCCGCGCAAGTGGAGCCCCAACATGCCTTAATGGTAGGATCCTTACTTCAAGGATCCCTTGGTTCCAAGACACTTGTTTTCGGGTTCCTTGGCGTGGTGAAGCAAATCTCAAGGCAGAGGACTAAGGGTTCAGGGTTTAGGGGTGTAGGGCACTGGAGTTGCAGCCTGCGGAAAGGATGGTCGAGCCAGGGCGACGCCCCTTCCAGCATCTAGAGAATCTAGGGTTTAGGGTTTACGGTTTAGGGCTAAAGGGCATGTCCAACTCACATCCGACTGACACTGAGAAGACCCTATCGTGTTTCGGGTTTTGGGGCTTGTATCGCTGAGTGTTTAGGGCTTTTAGGGGGAGGGGGCCCGCCTAATGTTTGCCTGAAATCATCTGGAACTATAATCTTGAAATCCTTGACCCTTTTGCTGCTGCTTTTGCGGTTCACTTGGGTTTGCCGGGGTTTGAGGTGTTGTTTGAGAGGTGTCGGGCTCAGGGTTTGTAAGTTCAAGTAAAGAAGGCTGCCGGACTTTTGCAGTCTCTGTCCGTGAAGCCATGCACAAAGAACCAACAACCTGTAAGCACGAACAAGTCTAGGATGCCTTGTCAAGGTTTGGTTCTTCTTGCCCCGATGAGATTCTTAATTAATAAGCCCCAAACCCCGAAAACCCTCAAAGCCCTGAGTCTTCCTGGGAGCGAGGTACACTCTGCTTGGGTGGTATCTTGACCGCGTGGTTCCCAAGGACTGTCACCGACCGCGAGAGCCCAATACCCCCCAGCCCTGAAAAGAACCCTTCCTAGAACCCCTTCCATCTGAAGCCTTTGAGTACTATGTTATCTTATACTTATACGATACATCCATCGGAAAAGGGGTATACTCCTGAATCAAGCATTATTGTGCTCGCTGGGACTCTATGGCACTGGCCCCGGGCTTCTCAGCCACGAACCCAGGCTTACAGCTTTAGGGCTCTAAGTTTAAGGCTGAGGCCGGCCTTGACGAAGGGATGCTCCCAGTTCTGAGAAGCTTGTACATGCCACCGAGTGTTTAAGGATTCAGCGCAGAATGTCGGCGCTTTTGGGCCCCCTTAACTCAGTTGAACCATACGACTGGAGAAAGTCGAGACATGTCCCAACCGCAGGAGTTTGGAGTGCGCCTGCCCTTCTACTTCCCATTCCAGCGCTCTTTCTGGCAGTCGCTTTGGAGGCTCCGGTGCCCGAAATTCCTGAAGCTTACTCCCTGCTTCAATCTTCAGTTGTGTATAGAGGCGGAAAAGCAAGAATAGTCCGATTCCAGCTTAAGGCCCCTGCATTACACTCAGCCCCCCAGTTCATTTCAGCACAGGGTTCCTTCTGCACAACTGTGCCCGAAATAGGGTCAGACCCCGCTCTTCTCAGAAGGCTCCAGAGAGTTGAAGCTCCGGAATTCTTGTTCCCGCATATCCTACAGATGATATGTGTTAAGTCCCAAGCCATAAGCGCTGTACTCTGAACTCGAAGCCTTGAACCAAAGCCCCGAGAGCCTAAACCCTGAATCCACCGCCCACAACAGGCGTAGACGCCCTAGGTGATGAACAGAAGAAAGCTTTGGAGACTAGTAACCTTAAACCCTCAACCCGACACATTACACCGCAAGCCCAGCCCCTAAACCCTAAACCCGAACCGAAGGAGCCCTAAACCCCCAAAGCTGTAAACACCACACCCCAAAAACCCCAAGATACTTCAAACCCAAAGAACCCAAGCCCCAAACGCTAAAAACCCAACACCTCTTAATTAAGCCACCAAAAAGCTCTCCGTCCAGTCCGGCGGCCCTGGCGGACGCTGCTGCAACTGCGGAAGAGGTGCTGGCTTTTGAAGTCTTACTTGGGGATCCAAAATCCTACCGCTTTATGGGTTCCCCCCTCTTTTTACGGGGTCATAACCTACTATTTTGTAGGGTTTGGGGCCACAGGCAACGTACCTTCATATAGCGGCCTGAGATTCCTGTAGCGGTATTTCCCGCTCAGAGTACCAACACTTACGCAGGGCTTTAGGCCTCAGGGACATGGGAGCGGGGAAGCTAAATGAGCCGTGCCTCCAAACCTGAAGCCATACCAGGAAACCATCGGACACGAACGAGTGAAGGCTGAATCCTGAGGCTCAAAGCCGACGACGAGAACTAAAGCCCCAAAGCGAGAAACTTTCAGTCCTGCGCCGTGCATTCTCTCTCCCCTTTCTGGCACTATCCTGCCGACCACCTAAACCCTAAACCCTGAAAAGGAGCCGAAGGCCCCTTCCAGGAATCCGAAACGAACGCCCGTCTTGGGCCAAGGCAGCTCTGAATGGACCGGCCGCGCTTTGCGTCGGTTCCGGGGCTGCCGAGCCGGTGCCGGAGGTCCTGTGGCCTCGGAGAGGGATAAGGGGCTTCCTTGTAGGCTTCCTTTTGGGCTTCGTTTTGTGGTTCCTTTTCGGCTTCCTTTTAAGGTTCCATTTGTTCCTTTCTTGGTCTTGTGAGTTTGATGGGTTTAGGGTTTTTGGGATTTGTTTGTTTTGGAATTGCGGGTTTTGGAAACAGATTGGGAAGCGTGTAACGGATTTTCGGGGTTTGGGGAGTCGAGGCTTGGTTGAGGGTTTTGGGGTTCGCTTCCCTCTTTTGAGTTGGTGGGCAGTCGGGTTTTGGAGTTATGCTGCGAGAGTCTATGAGGGCCCCAAGCAGCTGATGTGAGGGTGTGTAAGGCCCTGAACTCCAAACCCAAACCCAAACCCAAACCCCGCGCCTTCCAAAGGTATAAGATTAGTTGCTCACTCGACCGAAGGCTCTGCGCCGGAAGTCGGCCGCGTCGGGATGCAACTCAGATGCAGCGACGGTGTGCGCGGTGTGCAATCTCTTGCTCGGGCTGGTTTTTGTTTGGTCCCCGTAGGTCTTTTTGGGTACGGTCGGAAGGGCTCTTTCTCTGCCCTGCATAGACCCACCGCTCAACAGCTTCTCGAGCATGCATGGATTGAGTCCGAAGAAAGCCCTCCGCGCAGTCCAGGGTACTACTTGTACCTCCACCCACGTGCAAGGTGTAAAAAAAGCCTTCTCTGGCGCACACTGGTTTTTCTTCTACCCTGCCACGTATCCATGACCAACGAAACCTTCCGTTGAGCGGACAGGGCTTTCAGTGGGCGGATCGAGATTCCTCTGGCCCGAGATGTTGAGATAAAAGCCCTCCTATCCCAACGACGGGTTTTAAAAGGTCGTCTGGTGTACCCAGAGGTCTTAAACAAATGCCCTCTTCCCAGCGGCAGTGGGGTTAAATTGGGCCTTGTGGGGGGCTTCAAGTGGCCCCGTCTTGATAAGGATTCATCCAGACGTGCCGCTATCGCCCGAATTCGCAGGGTTCGATGACTGTCACGCCTTTCCCGGCCTCGGGCTTCCGCCCTTTGTGGGCTCTCTAGTCTCTTTCGAGCGGTTTGCTCCTTGTTCTGAATTTCTGCAATTCCTTTCGAGCGGTTTGCTCCTTGTTTTCAATTTCTCTTGGCCCTTTCTAGCGGTTTGCTCCTTCTTCTGAAATTGTAAACCTAGTTCCTTTCGAGCGGTTTGCTCCGTGTTTTTAACTTCTCCAGTCTCCTTCGAAATTCTCTAGTCTCTCTCGAGCGATTTGCTCCTTGTTTTGAAATTCCCTAGTTCCTTTCGAGCGGTTTGCTTGTTGTTTTCAAATTTTCTGGTCTCTTTCGAATTTCCCTGGTCATTTTCGAGCGGTTTGCTCCTTCTTCTGAAATTCTCTTGTTCTTTTTGAGCGGTTTGCTCGTTGTTTTCAATTCCTCTAGTCTCTGTCGAGCGGTTGCTCCTTGTCTTCAAACTCTCTAGTTCCTTTCGAGCGGTTTGTTCCTTGTTTTCAAAGTCTCTAGTATCTTTCGAAATTCCCCGTTCTTTTTCGAGCAGATTGCTCCTTGTCAGTTCCTTTCCACCGGAAGACCCGGCAATGAACGGCACATGCATTTGGAGACTCTCTTAGTCAGTCTTAATCTTAGTGACTAGTGACTAGTGAAATGACTGTAGTGCAAATAATCACAAAGACGGGGTGCTAACTGCTAACTGCTAACTTACAGCTTACAACTCTGGCATGTGCCGCTGCGAATCTTGCTGCGAAATGTTGGACATCCTCACCACCTGCTGCCAGCTGCCAGTGCCCCAAATAGGGAATCTACTTTTGCTGCTGTTGCTCTTTCTGCGGCTGCAGCAGCCACTTTCAGTTCCAATCGAGCAGCGACTTTCAGTTCCCGTTTAGATTCTATCGGGCATGCCACTTACGGCACTGCCGAATCCTCATGACCTGCTGCCAGCTGCCAGTGCGCGGAACAGATAATCTACTTTTGCTACTGTTGTGCTTTCTGCGGCTGAAGCAGCCACTTTCAGTTTCCAATCGGGCATGCCAGGCACAAATTTGCCGGCATGGCACGACACCGCACGAGCTTGACGCCGAAAATATGAGCCGAGTGGATGGAAACTACTTGTCACTGTAACAAACTAGCACTACTGAGTAGCAACTTCCGTCGAAATCCGGAACGCGAGCAACCCTATGGCTGGATAGCCGGGCCCAGTAACAGTAGCACTCAACCACCTTCCAAATATACGCCCGTAGTCATCGTCAACCCTCAAAGAAACAACACAATCCTTTCAAAGTCAGTCTCCAAAGACGTGTCACTCCTCTCGACGTATGTCTGCCGTATACTTTCACATTTTTTTGCTCTCCTCTCGAAGCCCTGATTCTGAACACGTGCGTCACAGATGACATCAGCATCACAGATTGTTTCACAGATGTTTTCACAGATTGTTTCACAGATTCATCAGCATCACAGATTGTTTCACAGATGTTTTCACAGATTGTTTCACAGATTCATCAGCATCACAGATGTTTTCACAGTCTGTTTCACAGAATTTGCACAGAAATAATTAATCCATGGTTTCCAGTCTGTACCCGGTTTGGCTCCTTGTTCTCACAGCCTCTAGTCTCTTTGGATTTGCCCCCTGTACTCAAATTCTTCAGGTTTGTTTGTTTTCACATTTTTTAGTTGTTCGAGCGGCTTGCTCCTTTGTCTCAAAATGTCGAAAATCTTTGGAACGGTTTGCTCCCTGTTCTCAAATTCTCTGGTCTCTTTCGAGCGGTTTTCTCCTTGTTCTGAGATTCTCTAGTTTCTTTCGAGTTGCTTTTCTCCTTGTTCTCAAGTTCTTTAGTCTTTTCGAGCGGTTTGCTCCTTGCTCTCAAGTTCTTAGTCTCAATCGAGCAGTTTGCTCCTTATGTTCTCAAGTTGTCTATTGTTTTTTCGATCGGTTTGCTCTTTTTCCTAAATTCTCTAGTCTCTTTCGTTTGGTTGGCCCTTTGTTCTTAAATTCTTTAGCTCCTTTCGAGCGGTTAGCTCCGAGTTCTCAAAGTCTCTAGTTTCTTTTGAGCGGTTTGCTGCTTGTATCAACTTCTCTATTCCTTTTTGAGCAGTGTGCTCCATGTTCGCAGAAGTGTTTAGTCTCCTTCGAGCGGTTTGCCTCTTCTGTTCTCAAGTTTTCTAGTCTTTTACGCGCAGCTTCCTCGTTTTATCTAATTTTCTCGTCTCTTACGTCTGGTTTGCTGGTTGTTCCTTGTGCTTTCCTGGGCCTTGTGCCCTGTGACAGGCTCCTTGCCCTCGTGGGCCTACTGCCCTTCCGAGGCTCCCGGCCCGGTGGCCTTTGGCAAACTGCCGCTCCACGCCCACTTTCCTTATTCTGGTCCCTCTCTTCCTTCCCCTCCCCTCCCCCTTGTCACCCCTGCCCTCCCCTCCCCTCCCCTC